ACTGTTCAGCCCGAGGGAGTGGCACCTCTGCATCCCTAGAAATGGGCCCAAGGCAGCGGTGTTTCCCATCGCAGGACCAGGGTGTGCACTTGAAAGCTCCCGTCTCAACCTTCCTTGCACAGCGAGATTCACACTGCATCACCAGCTGCCCCTAAAGGCAGCAAACGCTGGACCGTGAGTCCCTCATTCCAAGAGCTGTGAGGCCTGAGTCTCCTGCTTTCATACTCAGCCCGGAATCACCAGACCTCGAGACAGCTCTTGGTTCTTCCGCAAGAACCGACAGCGTGTAGCTCGAACCACCCAGAAGTTTGGTGGAGGTGGTGGGGAGAGGTCAGCTCCGGATTTCATGCCCGTGCTGCTGCCGGAAACCCACACGGTTCCGTGCAGCTTCTGGCTTCCTGGCAGCGTGGGTGTTAACGCCGCACGTGGTCCGTTGCCACCCTTCCATGGCAGCAGAGCGCTCACCATATGGCTGTAAAGACCAGCGCCTGACCCCCCCGGCCCTCCCGTGGGCTGCACCCAGGCGAGCTCCCCGGCCGTATGTTTTCTGTGGGCCTGCTGTTCCTGGAGCCTATCACTTCACAGTTTGTTTCTTTGCCTCAGGGTCCAAGATGCTTTTGCTCAGAAAAAGCCCCCAGTTAGCTGCCCCTAAGCAGCTTGGCCTGTACCCTACCCAGCACACTAAGGTTCGGCCTCTGTGTTTCCGAGGCCCTTGGTACAGCAGGTGGCATCTCTTCATGTGACGTGGTCCCCTCTGGGCTGCTGAAGTGACTTCTGGTGGATTGGGGAATACAAGGGTTTTCTCCCCTTGAATGTTGCTGTCTCCCTATAATGATTTCACAGTAAAATCAGTGTGGAGAAGCAGAAGTTGGCCAGCTGTGGTGTGAGTGTGGTACCCAAGCAGGCCTTCTGCTTTCCCACCAATCCCTGGGCTCAAAAGGAATCTTAATTTGCATAAGATCAGGCACTACAGTGTCATCATTGTTGTGCAGAGTTAGGGATGTATGCATTGAGTTAATGTCACCAATGAATTAAAACTTCTCTGCACCAAAATAGAGTTCTCTGACCAATAGCATCTGCATGCCCTGGGAACTTGGGGAAATGCAGATTCTTGGGCCCCACCTCAATTGGGTCAGAAACTGGGTGAGGCTCGTGGTAAATCTGAGTACTCCACTATAAAATAATCTAGAGTGATGGAAGTGTCCGGTGCAGGAACAGCCAGCCGCGTGTGGCTGTTGTGAGCCCAAAATGGAATTGTTCATTTTATTTAATCTGGATTCATCCAGATTTCAACAGTCACACAGTTGTGGGTACCCTTTGGACATCCCAGCGTCAGAACCTACTCTGCTCTTAAAAGAATGATTAGTGGTAGAATTATTAATTTTGTATCTCAGGACAAACTCTGAGAGTGAAAATCCTATCACTGTAACTAGTTTATTTTGATTCTCCTTTTGCAGGGCAGGAGTTTACGAGTTGCCAGCCAGCTGAAGGAAGCTGAGTTTGGGCCAACACATGAGATAAATCTTGAATGATTTTTCAGATCTTTGATTTAGGAGGATTTGAAGGATGACAGGGCCAGGCTAGCCTTGTTAGTGTGAATTGGTTAAAATGTCAGAAGACGCTGTGAGTCCAGTCTCTGGGTGTAGTCCTTGGGCCATGCCCGCTGCTCTGTCCCATTTTCCGAAACACCAGTGGAAACCCTGGGCCAAGAGGGACCCAGAGGCTGTGTGATCCTGTGGTTGGAACAGAACTTCCTGTGTAGGAGCGCAGGAGCGCTGGGATCTTTCTCCCAAATTTAGCAGCCATTGTCTCAAAACTGAAGGAGCTGTCCTTGGTGAAAGAGAAAACGCTGCTAAATTTGTCAGAAGCAAAAGTTCTGCATGACCGAGCTTCCTAATTGGGGACCCTATCGTTGCATTATTTAAATCCATTATCACTGATTTTCCTAGTCCATCTCTTCAACTCATAAATGTTGAAAACAGGTAGAAGAGTGTTTGGCAATGCCGTTATCCAGCCTTCTCATTTTACACTTGAGGCACTGAGGCCCAGAGAGGTTGTGCATCGAGTAAGGGCACACAGAGCCAGGACATGGCTGAGTCAGGCGGGCCTGAACCCACCCTGCACCCCACTGCCCCTCCACTTCTGTGCTGCCGTTGTGCCCTGTGGGTGCGGCTGACGGGTTCACAGCTCAGGCGATGGCCAGATGGAAGGGACAGGAGCATCTCAGGGGCCAACACGACATGCACTGATGCTGACTGCCCACCTGGACTGTGAAATGCTGTGGCTTGCAGATGTGTCATGCAGATACCTTGAAATGTTTTAGGAGAGAGCTTTGGTGAGATATCGCCACCACCTTTTCATAACAGCTAAAATTCTTTGTGCTGTATATGTATGATGTCGTCATTGCCTGCTTTGCATGGTGAACCTTTTGAACGGATAGTTTTGTTGGAGTTAGCTTGTTTTCCAAGCACGAGGTCCATTTCAGGTTTAACTCCGCTACCCTTTCTTTTGTAACTTTCTGTCTTTAAATAGCATGGTTCTTTCTCCTTGTCCCCGAAAGCATTGCTACACATCAGGAGTGTGGTGCTGTGAACATAAACATTCCCTAAATATTGGCGGAAAGAATGAATGGATCCCATCCAGGCAGGTCTGCATGTTAACTTCTTTTGATAGTGACTGTGGCCGGGAAAAAAAAAATGTACTTTAGGGAAAATACTAGCAATGTGACCCCCGCCCCCCCCAGAATTCACATGCACACCAAAGGGCTGGGAAAGGAGTGGTAAATTGAATGCTGGGTTCGTTTCTGTGTCCACAAAACAGCCCTAAATCACATTCAGCATAATTTGTGGTTTTAAATTGGACTGATTTGGAAAGAGAGTGAAATAATCTCTCATCCTGCCAAGATGGTGATACCTTCAGACCTGCACCTGATTGCGGCGGCGGTGAGGCCGCGTTAGTTTTGGTTTGTGGCTCACGTGAGATCATCCTTTTCTCCTGGTTTCACTAACTTCCCTTATCGCGCACCTCATCAGCTCAGTGAGGTGAGAGTAAGTTTCCTGGTCGCTGGAGGTGGACAGGAGGAAAGGCTCAGGTCTCGGGGTAGCTGCACTTCTCCGAGTGCGGAGGGCGCGGGAATGCGAGGCAGTGATGCGGCCGCTCCAGGCTGTGATTTATACAAAGCAAATAGTGTGCCGCTGTCACCGCATCCAAAACACGCTTCTGCAGCCTCTCGGTACAGGTCAGGTTCCTATGCATCATTGTTGATACCGGGAATAATTCTGGAAGTCATTCCCAGCGGCTGAATTGGATGACTCCGTGAAGGCCACTTGTCTGTGGCCACTTCAGGGGCCACGGCGAAGCCCGGTTACTGGACCGCTGTCCGCCGCCTGCGAGTCCCACTCCAGAGGGAGTTCTAGTTTCCACAGCCCCTCCTTCCAATGAAGGCGTTTCCTTTCCTTGGACCAGCCCTTCCCTTTCTCCAAAAGAAACCAGTCATGCGTATCTTAGATATTTCTCAGCCCTGAAAATGGCGACTCAACCCTGTAATGGACAGTGTGCCCGCCCGTCCTCTTGACCTCGGTCCCCCGGGAGTTAGCAGCTGCGCCCTGGAGTGGCTGCCTCCTTGATCACTTCAGGTGTGTGTCTGGAATTTCACACACGCCTTGCTAGCGGGTCCAAGCACAGCTGCTCCCGGTTGAGTTGAGGCTTGAGCAGTGGGCAGGCAGCGTGGGTGGCTGTCCCGGCCTTCAGGGGCAGCAGGAAAGGAGGGAGCTGGAGGCTGCCAGCAGACGGAACCTACGTTCTTGTGCTGGACTGAGGCGCAGGTCACGTGGTCGTCACACAGGCAGATGTTTGTGGAAAAATTGAGTAGCAAGTGGGATAGGAAAATTGCTGTCTATGCAGTCCATTTGCTGCCAGTTCCAAGTTGGACATTTGTCCGTCAGTATCCTCAGGTGTTTGGTTCCAGGAGCCCCTAAGATACCAAAATCCAGGGATCCTACGTCTCTTTGTACAATAGCACAGTATTTGCTTGTAGCCTATGTGCATCCTCTATATACTTTAAACCACCTCCAGATTGCTTATAATATCTACTGTAATGTAAATATTATGTAGTTAGCTGTTATATTGCATTGTTTAAGGACAAATGACAAAAGGCAAAAGTCTGTGCATGTTTGGATCTATAGGTGGCTGAATGTGCAGATGTGCAATCTACAGACATTGAGGACTGGCTATACTTTTGAGATAACGATGCCTTTGGCTTTAAATTTGTATTTGCAGGCATAAACTACAGGGAAAGAGGACCCCTACAGTCCCAAGTGGTTGTTTTGCAACTTTGATCTGAACACCATTATTCATAGCATGCTACTCATTTTGCGTTTTTGTATTTCTGTATAACAGTGTATCAATTCATTGTTAATATGATGTAACTTCTGTGTGTGTGTGTGTGTGTGTGTGTGTGTGTGTATTGATCAGGGTACATTGCTCCAGGGGCCCAAATCAGAAACTCGGTGGGTTGAATATGTTATCCTTTAAGGTTGAGCATAAAGAGGACAGCCCTTGAGGTACTGGACTGTCTGGAGCTCCAGTGTGGGACCGTCTCACAGGAAGGGATCTTGGGGTTTGCTCTCTCTTTCTGTCTTCTAGTGGAGACACAGGAGAATCAAAAGGAAGAACACAGCTGCACTTACTAGATGTAGGACAATTAGACGTCCCTTGGCTTTGTAGGAATCCCTCATTGTCAGTTATGGTGCCAAAGTTCCTTTTTGTCCTGCCTTTTCTGCCTCATTTCCTTACTGTTCATCATGCACAAACCATGCCAAGTGTTTTGATCTGATTGTACAAGAAGAAACATTTCTGCTTTGACTTGATGGTCTGTATGTGAAATACAGGGTCATATTGGAATTAACATCTTTCCCTGGAAAGAGAAACAAAATGTGTTGCTGGTGCTCTTGGCTAGGGGGGAGGCTCCTGGACTCACAGCCTGCGTTTTGTCTCCACAGCGGTGCCACCAAACATAGCGGAACTGAAGAACTTGGAAGTGCTAAACTTTTTTAATAACCAGATCGAAGAGTTGCCCACACAGATCAGCAGCCTTCAGAAACTCAAGCACCTGAACCTTGGGTGAGTACTAGAGTAGAGGAAAGAGAGTTAAAGGCAGTGAGAAAAGGAACAAAGGGCAGGGGGCGCCGTTCGTGTTACTGCACACGAGTGTGTTTCCAATTTCTGTTTATGTTTTGGGTTTTAAAAGTTTTATTGTTTTAATATATCCTTTCAATGGCCTCCATTAGTGCATATCTTGTTGGAGAAGCTAATTGCTGGCACAATAAGGGAGTTTTTTTACTGTATTTTGTTTCCAATAAAATTTTTTATTTCAGTTATGTTGACCAAGAAGGGACTTGTTTGCATAGCATTAGCTGTTCAGTAAATTACAATGTGGCTGATTTTTTTTCCCTCTCTGTCTTGAGTAGAAATATTTTATAAAGTGCCTTCCTTCCAGAGAGAGGAAGAAACCATTCTGTAATGCTGCTTTATTAATTCTTACAATTCCCCAATGTGGTCAGGAGGTTATAATCCTGTGTCTTTATGCACAGATGAAGAGAGGAATGTTGCTTCAGCTGAGGTAGCAGAGCCAAGAAGCAGTGAATAATAATAATCCCGGATTTCTTTGCATTCTCAGAGTCCTCACCCAGCTATTGACCCCTTCCACATTTGTGAGGCAGGGAGGGAAAGCGTTAGTGCTTCCATTTCATGGGAAGAAGCTGGGCCTCTGCCAAGGGGTTAAGAGACTTGCTTTCTACTTACGCCCCAGGTTGTGGCCGGAGAGGGGAAATCCACTGGTGTGGGTCCATTCCATCTCCGTCACGCTCCATAGGTGCCAGCCAGAACTGTGGCTTCTGATTTCTGTCTTCATTGTCATAGCTACGAGGTGAAAGGGCTCGTTCACGCTTCCTTCTCTCTGCAGACTAAAATACTCATTAGATTGTAGCCACTAAACCATCCAAGTCAGTGATTTACATGGAGTGGCAGTAGAAGCTGGCCAGGTACTTGTCAGTTTTACAGGAAGCAAGCATGACGAAAAATCTCACCCACGAAGTGCTTGTTAGTTCATTCTTTGTACAGGGCTTTGGTTAGATATTCTTAGTTTGAATCTCACTTAGCCTAAGGGACCATCTTTGTAAGACCCTTGAGCATTCTTTTTTTAGTAGTGGGATCGAACTCAGGACTTTGTATTTGCAAGGCAGGCAGCAGAACCACTGAGCTAAATCCCTGGCCCAAGCATTCTTTTTTCTAGAATGTGAGGGAAAGAGGAGTTTAAAGGAGGGAGAAACCCCACTTTACAATAGATTATTTGTCCCTGTGCACATTTGGGAACTGTATTCCCAGCTGGCAAAGCAGAAAAGAAAGGCTCCTACATTTAATGAAGATTATTAAGTCTCAGTGCTTAATTGGCACATAAGCAAGAAGCTAACACCAGATATAGGGATATATTTATACTGTTAATTTGTTCATTTATTAAATGAGTTATATATCGTTCCATCCTTTGGCTCTGGACTAGTATATGGTAAGCAGGGCATAGTGTTAGCTATTATGGTTGATATCTTTGTTTTATTTATTTTTTCCTTTATTTTGTGAACATGTAGGTTCCTGTTTTGTGTCAGGAGTCTTGCTCATCTTGGGGCTCAAAGGTGAAAGTCATGGTCTGGGTTAGAGTTAGGGTCAGGGGCCAGACCTGCTGTGGATCAGCAGGACAGCACAACAGGGTCCCAGGCGTGTTGGGGCTGATGGAACCACAGCGGACAGAGAGACAGGGAGCACGCTGGTCTACACATGAAGTCCTGGGGAGAATTCACCCAGGGAGCACTGGACTCCCCAACTTAGCACCTCAGGAGGAATTTCTCAGATTTAGAAGCAGAAAGAACCAAGGTATCTCAGGTTGAGTTGATCTGTGACCTGTTTAAAAGCTCAGAGTAATGCATGTTTGGGAAGCTTTATTGCAATACTGATACCGCTGAGTACACGACATGAGGCAAGGCGGTTCAGGTGAGAGGCGAGGCTGGACAGGCCATCGTGAACGTCTACTGCTCATTTAATGAGTCCTTCCGAAATTCCCGACCAGATATCGGTTGCCGTGCTAGATATCAACCATTCCAGCCCAGTGGAGCCCCGTGATAGCTGGGGAAACCAAGCGTGAAAAAATAGATGGCAGAGAATTGGGAATGCTAGTGAAGGGCCTCGTGAGCTGCACAAAGGATCTTTGGCTTTATCCATCGGGGAAGTTGCATGGTGGAGTAGCGTGTATGAGTTGATGTCAGATTTTTCTATGAAAGATGAGAGTAGAGAAGGTCAAAAGGAACTAGACCAGAGGCTGGGAGCCTAGCAGGAAGGCGAGGTGATGAGGTGCCTCAGGTGACGAGGGCAGTGATGGTGGAGGCATGGGAGAGCTTTTATTTGCAAATGAAAGAAGGAAAAGTTGGCAACACAGCCATGGATGGGATAGGATGATACCTCGATTTCTGTGTTGGGCAGCTAAAATGGAAATATAAACAGAGGCCAGATGGGAAAAGGATAATGAGCTTTGGTTTCGTTCCCTTAGGTTTGACACACACTAGAACAGAGTGGTGAACTTTCCTCTTCCACTGATGGTGTCGCAGTTTCCTCCTCGTCCTCTCTGGAGTTGTTGGCGTTTGTGGCCCTTGGAGCTGTATTGGTTGTAGGATGATTTCTGTATGCAATGACACAGTTACATCGGCAGGGTTGTCTACATACAAACACAATTTTTACTTCTTTAGGAAAGAAATAAAGATAGATTTCGGTAAAGGATACCCTGTCTCGAAATGGCTCAAAGAATTAAACACACACAGCAATGCAAGGTTAAGGCAAGTTATAGAGAGGACTATTTAGGGATAACCATCCAGAAGAAAACTGTACATTAAGGAGGCTACAGAGCCATAGCAGTTAGGCCACGTGGACCCGTGGCCCAGAAGACTCACTGAACCAGAATTGGTTTTAAAAGTTATATAGTATTTGCTGTTTATTCTGATGAGCACAAGACCTGAAAGTATTTTAGACCACCTGGTTAAAAAAAAAAGAATGTTTCGTTGTGTTCTCAGTTCTGTAAACATGGTTCATACTACAGAGTTATTTTCTAAGAAATGTAAAAACGCAGAGATGCCACAGTGGTACAGTAACAATTTCCAGGATAACTTCACTGTGGCTCAGCCTTTCCATCGATTCTGGAATAACTCTCGGCCTGGTTTGTTTGTAGAACTCATCTCACGAACACTTCGTAGTTAGTGAACCAAGTAGGATACGTGACAAACGTGCTTCACAAATAGTGAACGGATAGAAAATCTGGGGCATCATCCCTGCAGCAAATAGTCACAGAGGTTATTTTGCCCTGCGAAAAGTCTACCCGAGCAGTAGAGATCCACTTTTCTCTCTTGGTCTTCCCTTCTGCTCTCCGTCATTTCTTGTGAGGCCTCGTTGATGGAGGTGGACAGGATTGCATCTGTTATGAGAAGGATCAATGACTAGAATAAGTTGTAGTGTCACAGTTCCTCCCATCTTTCAATATCTGTCAACGGAAAGTTTTTTTTTTAAACTGACTTTTAAGTATGTTGAAAGGAAACTGTATTAAAAAAATAAGCATCCTGAAAAAAAGAAAATAAGGGAAAAGGAAAAAAAAATGAGAAAATGAAAAAATGGAAATGAAGTATTTTTAAATAGGGAAGGGAGGAGAGGGCGAAGGGGAGGGGCAGGGATAAAGGGAAAAAGTGAGAACTAAGACCTGTCATGTAAAGGTACAAGATCCCGATGATGAATGTAACTGTGCTGTATACCAAAAATACCAATAAAGTCAATGAGGGGGGAAAAAAAAAGAAAGAAAAGGTTAAAAGTTGGTAATAGAAAACTTTTTCTCTTGGGTTTCATTAGACGTATATGTGTGTGTGTGTGTGTGTGTGTGTGTGTGTGTGTGTGTGCGCGCGCATGCACCCGTGCATCTGGATTACCATCTTAATCATTCTAGAGTATACAATTCAGGTTCAATAGTGGTACAATATTTTCAGATTGTTGTGAACCAATCTCCTGAAGTTTCTCCTTTCTTTTGGTACCAGGGATCAAACTTGGGACCTTGCGCTTAGGAGGCAGGCAGCAGCACCACTGAGCTAAATCCCCAGCCCTTGGAAGTTTCTCTTCTTGAAAACCTGAAACACTATAGCCATTAAGCAATCCCCCCTTCTCACCTCCTGATAACCACCAATATAATTGGAGATAATTTAAATCCTGATAGTTGTACAACACAGTTGAGTTTTCTCCCTTCCATTAAAATAAATAAATGAAATGAAACAAAAATAAATCAGATGTAAAACAGGAATACTAGATATGCATTTTTGAAGAATCATTGCCACATTCGTTGCGAAGTTTTTCTCTAGACAGACAAATACTTTGTGATGGTTTTAGTTTCTGTACAAAGTAGTAATTGAACTGTGCCACTGGAGAAAATGAAAGCTAAGACACTTTGAAATGTTTCACAAATACATAGGTTTTCTGACTATAATTTTTAGGGTGAGGAAGACAAATGTCTCACTTATATGTGGGCTATGGAATCAGCTGAACTCAGAGAAGCAGAGTACATTGGCGGTCAGCAGAGGCCTAGTGAGTGGGGGCTAGGGGGGCATGTTGGTCTCAGGACACAGACCTGGGTGGAAGGAGTAAGTTCAGGAGAGCCGCTGTACACCATGGTGTCTGACGAAATACATGCTATATTTGAGACTTGCTAAGAGAATAGCTTTTTTTTTCCAGTATTCATTCTCACTACATACACAGTAAATAATAGGACGTAATGCCTGTGAGACAGCTTGATCGAACAACTCCATATTGTACAGCATTGTTAGTATATATAATTTTTATTTGTCAATAAAATTACATTTAAAAAACATAAAGTAAATGTAGAATCATGGCACTTTTTAGGGCTTTCAGCCTGTCAAAGAGTAGTGTAGATCGGCAGTGTTCTGTGTAAGTGTGTGTCGTGTGGGCTAATTCGTGTCTCTCTTCCCCACAGCATGAACAGGCTAAACACCCTGCCTCGTGGGTTTGGCTCTCTTCCAGCTCTTGAAGTCCTGGACTTGACTTACAACAACTTGAATGAAAATTCTCTTCCTGGAAATTTCTTCTACCTTAGTAAGAAACTTTTAATTCTATAAATCTCCTTAGGACGGTACTTTGCGTTGTAAGAGTAAAATTTATTTGCCAGGGCCCAAACTCTTAAGAGAAATTATGAGACATATATATTTTTTTCTTCGCGGATTACCTTTGAATATTCCTTCATAGCTCAGCAATATTTATATTTGATATATAGTCGTCTGACACCTCTGGGGTAAGTGGACTTAGCAATGTCATATTAACTTTCCAAGAGAGATTTTGGAACTAAATGAGATCAAGTCTCGGTGTTTAGCTAAGAAATTTGACTTTCTTTTTAAGAATGTGCTCCCAAAACAGTACTCCCATGTTGCTCTTAATTCTTTGTAAGATATTTGCTCAAAGATATTCTAGACAATTACCTACAAAAATGCCCATTAATAAACTGCTAACTGAAGTTTTCAAATTTTCAGCCGTGAGTCTTATTTTATTTTTGAAAAGTATTGATGTAGCCTGTTTTGGCCACTGCACAAACATTTAAAAAGTTGACAGACTCACTTGATGCTTCCATTTGCAAATAGATGTCTTGTGAGGGTCCTCCTAATATTAGGAAACAGTGATTTTCTAGGAATTCATTACCAAGTAGGAAAAGGTGGCATGCATGCCTTAAGTGACTATTCTGCTTTTCCAGTGTCATCTGGGACATCCAAAAAGTTCTCAATTTTCTGAGCTAGTCTAGCTAGCTAATTTCATTTTTTACCTTATGTACTCTGCCTTTCAAGACTCTCTCAGGCACATGAAACCAATTCTGAAATATGTCTATGGAAAAAATTGTTACTGTCACGCCTATTAACATAGAATTCTGTTGAATTTTGAAACATTCACTACCTATAAACAAAGCAGGAAAACTCATACATCTTAGTTCACCGTACCCACTTTTTGTGTTGAGGGTAAAGGGATACTGTAGGATTTTAGCAGTCATTAGTTTGGGTTCATACCATTATTGTGTAATATCATGAACGAAGGGACACTGAGATTCTGTTAAAGCTGTATTCTTTTTAACTCCACCGTTGTCTTCATATATTTTTGTCATTGAGGCCATAGACGCAAGTAGTAATAATTAGACTGATTATGGAAATGATGAACTGCAATTACAGCTCCCATCACCGGAAAGCCTTTCATTTATTTATTTATTGTGCGCATCATTGTGCTACATAACGAAAGTTCTATTGTGACACGGTCCTGTCTCCGTGCAAGAGCCCTTTTGTTCTGTGCTCAGATGGAAGTGACACAGCGGCTCTCTTCCTTTTATTTGGACGCACATGGAGTAATAAGTATGAATCGGAAGGCACAGAGGAAAATAAGCTGTCCTTTCTGGAAATGCATGAAACTATGCCCAGGACTGCCGCACATGCCCACCGTTGCTCTTGTGTCAGTCCTCTCGGATAGGGGTGTTTTCCTGGACACACCAGCCACACGATCAGCCAGTAAATCTAAGTTTGACCTGCTTGTTATTACAGCGAGGCCTAGGTATGTCACAGGCTTTTCACCAAGCCAGGGTTATTAATCAAAGCTGACTCCTGCGTATTGATCAGACCTCAAATGGTTGGGTTCCATGCCACCCTGTTTATATATTGCTGTTTAATTTGCAGCCACCCTGCGTGCACTCTATCTAAGTGACAACGATTTTGAAATCCTGCCGCCAGATATTGGGAAGCTCACAAAGTTGCAGATAGTAAGTAATTTATCTAAATTCTTAGAAAATCAATTCACTTCTGCAGCCCTTGTAAGAGTAGAATGGAGTCAATTTGAGCAGGAGTAAGGTTTGTTTTGCAGGAATGAACCACCATTCCTGATACTGTTTCTTGTTTAGCCACAGTCACTTGTAAATAAATTGAAAGAATTGAGCCTTAGAAAAAGAAAGGGCATGGGAGAGTGCAAGAGTTTCTGTTGAGCGCCTCTTTATGAGGAATTGTTCTGACAACTGCTTGTTTTCCAATACTTAGCTCAGCCTTAGGGATAACGACCTGATCTCACTGCCCAAGGAAATCGGGGAGCTGACCCAGCTCAAGGAACTCCACATTCAAGGAAACCGCCTGACTGTTCTGCCCCCAGAACTAGGTAAGGCTGCTGATGAATCATCTTACTTCTAGAGATAATTAATAACAATTACCCGAACGTAGCAATTCTTAACATCGTCTCTCTTGCTCTCTGCAAACTTTCTCCTCCCAGGGACCCAGTTCTGACCGTTTTCAGCCATTTGTCATTGACCAGAGTTCAGTGCTGTGGATCTGGCCTGGCCTGATGCTGTGCCTGCATCTGTAGGGTCTGGTGTCCCAGGACCCCTGATGAAAGGTGGCCCAGCCCAGCGCCCTGCGTGCTGGGGCAGGAAGTGTCATGGCCTGACTTAGGGCATGCGTTTGCAAGCTGGGTGAGCTTTCTAGGTTCTAATTGGGCGATTAGAAACTTTTAGCAGAACATCATTCTTACTTTTTAATGGTCGAAGTTTTTTGTTCTTTGGTTTTTGTTTTTTTGCCCCTACAAACTTGACCAAATAGATAAAATATTTGTAACAGCGACTTGAAATGCCCTTTCCAGTCATAAATTCAGTTCTTTCCCAGTCCTTTCTCCAGTGAGAATCACTGCATATGCTCTCGCTGTGAATCCTTAGGTAGCTGAGTGTTGGTTCTCTGCTTGGTCACTTTCATGGGCCCAGGAGGCGTCCGACCTTCACAGTAACGAGCTCACCAGTGACTCTGTTACCGAGGCAGTGCCGCCCTTCCGCGGAAGGCTTGTGAATTCACTTCCCTTTCCTTGTGGCTGCTGACTCCCTCCTCATTTCTTTCATCCTTTGAAACACATTTTCTCGAACTGGTTATTTTGCACCAAAGTGGTGCAAAAATAACATAATTTTTAAAACTTGTATTTAATCACACCTCCTGGTGGTTTTGCAGAGCTGCCTGTTCCAAACTAGAACATCCATACCATGACGCCTAGGACCTTGTCATATTTGTACCCGGCTTTACCCTCAGTACCTAGCGTGCCCCTGGTAGGTAATACGTGCTCAAAGAATGTTTACCAAGTGAGTAATGAAACGAGGACCTGGGATGGCACGGTGTTGGGAAGGTCGCAGGCACTTAACGTCTGTCCTGAGCTGTGCTGTCCAGAACAGTTGTCACCAGCCGCATTTCCCAGGCTCGGCAGCACAGGGAACGAGTGATTGTCAAGTCGGAAACTGGAAACGCAGGTGAAGGACGTTCCTATCAGCCTGGAGTTCTGTTGGAAAGTGCTCAACCGAAGGAAAAATGGTCACACAAGGTCATAGAACAATCGTAAAGTTCCACTTTCCCCATCTTATTTAGCTCCGTTGTTAGGAGGCCAGAGGACTCTATTACAATTTTAAAGACTAAAGAGTAACTCAGCACTATGTCTTTATTGAGTTACAAGCAGCCACGTCTTGCTTCAGGATGAAAAAGTGCAGAATCCAGAAAAGCTTCCTAGCAGGTTTTTAAGGCAAAAACTTCTTGTCAGAGGGAATACTTTCTGCAATGATTATTCACCAAAGATGCTAGAGTTAGTGATTTCAGGGAGTCCTTGCAGAATATGAATACCTGCTTGCTCCCCAACCTGTTGAATCAGAGCTCCGTGTGAGATGAATTCATGTGTAATTTGATGAAGCTAACTTAATGCTTCTGCTGTGTGTGCTTGGTTACTGTGATTAGAGGAAACAGAGTAAATATATATTTCATTGCTGTTTTATTTCATTTTTAAGCAATGAGGCAAAGCAGGCTATTAAAGAATTACTTTATTAGATAGTAATTTGTTAGGAAAATACTTTTCACTTCCCTTTCCTTGTGGCTGCTGACTCCCTCCTCTCATTTCTTTCATCCTTTGAAACACATTTTCTCGAACTGGTTATTTTGCACCAAAGTGGTGCAAAAATAACATAATTTTTAAAACTTGTATTTAATCACACCTCCTGGTGGTTTTGCAGAGCTGCCTGTTCCAAACTAGAACATCCATACCATGACGCCTAGGACCTTGTCATATTTGTACCCGGCTTTACCCTCAGTACCTAGCGTGCCCCTGGTAGGTAATACGTGCTCAAAGAATGTTTACCAAGTGAGTAATGAAACGAGGACCTGGGATGGCACGGTGTTGGGAAGGTCGCAGGCACTTAACGTCTGTCCTGAGCTGTGCTGTCCAGAACAGTTGTCACCAGCCGCATTTCCCAGGCTCGGCAGCACAGGGAACGAGTGATTGTCAAGTCGGAAACTGGAAACGCAGGTGAAGGACGTTCCTATCAGCCTGGAGTTCTGTTGGAAAGTGCTCAACCGAAGGAAAAATGGTCACACAAGGTCATAGAACAATCGTAAAGTTCCACTTTCCCCATCTTATTTAGCTCCGTTGTTAGGAGGCCAGAGGACTCTATTACAATTTTAAAGACTAAAGAGTAACTCAGCACTATGTCTTTATTGAGTTACAAGCAGCCACGTCTTGCTTCAGGATGAAAAAGTGCAGAATCCAGAAAAGCTTCCTAGCAGGTTTTTAAGGCAAAAACTTCTTGTCAGAGGGAATACTTTCTGCAATGATTATTCACCAAAGATGCTAGAGTTAGTGATTTCAGGGAGTCCTTGCAGAATATGAATACCTGCTTGCTCCCCAACCTGTTGAATCAGAGCTCCGTGTGAGATGAATTCATGTGTAATTTGATGAAGCTAACTTAATGCTTCTGCTGTGTGTGCTTGGTTACTGTGATTAGAGGAAACAGAGTAAATATATATTTCATTGCTGTTTTATTTCATTTTTAAGCAATGAGGCAAAGCAGGCTATTAAAGAATTACTTTATTAGATAGTAATTTGTTAGGAAAATACTTAATTGAACCTTCATGTGCCAATTTATAGGTTTTTAAATCTTACTCCTGTTGCTTTTTTTATTTAAGTATTCTATATAGTCACATTTCTCTGACATCTTTTAAATTCTCCAGTAGCAAATTATATATATTTTATTCCAAAGTAGAATTGCAACTAAAGCCTTTAATGACTTTATGTTTGTGAGTTATACCTAGAAACACTTTTAGCTTCTGCCAGGTGGAGTTTTTTTGCTGGGAAGGAAACACTTAGTTGGAAATACATGAGAGTTTCTGTTTATAAATATAAACTCAAGATAAAGGCAGTGTATTATTTATTTTTGAATAGTAGTTATTTTGAAAGTCCAGAATTGGCCAGGTGTGGTGGTGCATGCCTGTAATCTCAGTACTTGGGAGGCTGAAGTAGTAAGATTTCTGTGCGTCCGAGGCCAGCCTGGACTACACAGTGAGACCCTGTATCAGAAAACCAAGAAAAAGAGTCCAGCCAGGCGTGGTGGCGCACTCGGGAGGCTGAGGCAGGAGGATCGCTGTGAGTTCAAGACCAGCCTGGGCTACATAGTGAGTTCCAGGTCAGTCTCAATCTCAACTACATAGTGAGACCCTGTCTCAAAAATACAAACAAAGAAACAAAAAAACCCAAGAAAAAGAGTCCAGAGTAAGGTAACAGTAATATAATAATAGCTAGTACATACTAAGGCCTCCTGTGAGAAGTGCCTTCCCAGTAGTAGCTCCTATAAGCTGTTATGAGAATAGTAAACAGACTCTTTAGAGGGAAGGAAGCTGAGGCTCAGTGCGGGTTGGTGACATCAGTAGGGATGCACTACTGAGCCACACAGGTAAAACGTGAACTCTGATGTTCTCATTCCTCCACAGTCGTACTCCCCTACCCATCTGGATGCCAGTAAAGAATTCCCAGCAGTGCAGTTTCCATGTTTGGACAAAAGACAGCTGTCCACGCCCCCAGGACGGCAGCCTCAGGAGAGGGGAGAAAACATGGCCAGTTGCATAGCAGGGTCTGCTAGGAACGAGCAAGCCTGGAACAACGATACTTTGCTAATGCAGCTCTGGGGGCCTCCAAAGGGTGTGCTGCTCTCTGCTGTTCCTTCCCAAGCCCGTTGTAGTGTCCCATGGTTCTTGCCTTGTAGTGAACACGCACCACAGAGGGGACGCCCTCTGGCACCGGAAGTACTTGTGGTTGGCTGATGAGCCGGGCTGGGCGCCGATGCCCCAGCAGGTCCTTCTGTCTGCCCCTGCTGCATGCATTCACTGCAGTTTTGCTCCTGGTGCACTTTCAAGTGTGGATACTGACGGTCCCTTTCTTGTGTTGTTACTTTTTACACATCTAAATTGACAGGTAGATGCTCCTAAGGTTCCTGTGAAATAGCCTTTCGAAACAGACCCCGAGTTTATTAACTTGAAACCTTGTTGGGGAGAGTTTCAGCCACGCGGAGGATTCCAGCTGAGTTCTGACCTGTGAGATCTGAGACGGTGCAGGAGCACAGCCAGAGTGGGAGTTTGGACATGTGATTTCATCACTTTGCTTTTACCGTGCGTCCGTGGGCAAGTTACTTACACCGTAGTGTGTGGCTCCAAACCGAAAAGCACCTGTTGTCATGTTAGTTCCTGCAGCTGTAGAGTGTTGGATATCGGCTCTCTAACCCATTTGTCTGTTCATTCAGATGTTTATGAAGTTGCTGCCTTGGACCAGATTTGGAGTCCAAAGAAAGTACCTTTATGATAAAGCTCACTTGCTCAGCAAGTATTTATGGACCGTCTGCTACATGGACTTGCTAGGGATTGTGCAACAGAACATCTGTTATAGAACTGATGTTTGTGCTGGGGGCCATGAGAGTAAAAGACTTGGTATTTCCTGACCTTGGAAAAGTTGAAGTGTGAAAGGACATGCCAAACTGAGGGAGAAGTGACCTGCGGAAAACTCACTCATATGGTGATGACATTTTAAAAATACCTAGAGAAAGGATGGTATTCTCCAGGCAGAGCGAGAAGCAAGTGCAAAGGTCCTGAGACAGGCTCAGGTGTTTAGGAACAGCAGGAAGAGTAGTGGAGATGCAACAGATTGAACGCAGAGGTGAGTTATAAGAGATGTGCTTAGAAGGAAAGGGGCAGTTTGTGAGGGGATATCAGGATACTGGCTTTTACTCTTGAATAAGAAGGACTTTTTAAAAAACTTAACTGGTACATTTTAGATAGACCTGATGATCACATTCACTGTAAGGAATTTGTTCCTGT